CAGCTGTCTCGCCTTGGGTGTTCCGTCCTCTGCGTTGCCAGTCAGACAAGAAAAGGAGGGGATGAGCGAAGGAGGAGGAGGAGAACACAAGTGCCAGCTAGAAAGCAGGGAGGAAGGACAGGCGCAGTCGGGAGGGGACAGGACGACACGAGGCAAGTCACCAGCATAGTCGGGCTTCATGATGTTGTCAGGGATCTGTCTTGGAGGAGACAGACGACTGGGTCTCTGTGTTCCTGTGTACTTGAAACTGTCGCGTGCAAACCCGAAGCCCCCTCCCATCTCAACCCTTGTCCTGGCGGCATGCCTCCGCCCCATCGAAGATTCAGGAGCCCTCAGGATGCTGCCGCACCCTGAGGAGCAGAAGGCGTGCACCCATGAGTTGGACAAGAACACAAGAGCAACGCCAACGAGCATCGTCGATGCTGGGGAGGAATCAGTTCACTCAAGGTCGACATGTAGGAATTCTTTGACCTCCTTGCTTGCCGACAAGAAACATTTCAGAGGCCAGTGATACTCTCGCAGGAAACTAAGGAGAAACAAAGGTCAGGTAAAAGAATACATAACCATCGAGATAAGAGTAAACTAACATGTTCTCGTGCCCTATCCAATACCACCCCATTCCCTCCCATCCACCCCTTCTTATCCCATCCATTTTCTCCTCTCCATCTCACTTGCTCTTGTTCCACTCTGCTCTCTCTACTCCATCCTGAACTTTGCATCCTCTTCCCCTTCCTTGTACTCCCTCGTCTCCTCCTCCTTCCCTCCCCCTCCCCCTCTCATCTCCTCTTTGCGCCATCAAGCGCATGGAGGCCAGGATCTCACAAAATGAGACACCGGTAGGAGGAAATAAGCAAGGGTGGAACGGTTCCATGGAGGTGAAACAGGGGTACTTTTAACGTTAAAATTAGGGGTACTTGAATGAAAGGGTGGGTACCTTCTGAAATTGGGTAGAGGGGTAGAGTATAACGTTGAAGAGAGATGCCCCGAAGAAAGCACAAGATCCGATCGCAGCGACAGCATGTCGCGAAAGAAATGAGGAGGACGAGGACGAGGACAAGGACGAGGAGAAGGAGAAGGAGAAAGAGGAAGAGGAAGAGGAAGAGGAAGAGGAAGAGGAAGAGGAAGAGGAAGAGGAAGAGGCCAGAGCGAGGACAAGGACGAGGATAACGACGAGGACGAGGACAACGAGAAAGGCGAGGAGGAGGGCGAGGAGTTAGGAGAAAAGTGGGGAGGATAAGAATACGGAAACCAAGAAGTTCCACGAAGACAAGGATGAGACAGGAAAGGCAAAGAAAACAACCGGGAAGGAAGCAAGAGAGGGGTTGATGCTGATCTTTGATCCGCGAGAAGAGCAGCTTTTTATTCATCTCAAGTTCTTCAATGAAATGTACCATGACTCGGCTCTTACCATCGCAGGAAGAGAGAAGAGGCGACAAGCATGGATCTCGACGTCCTGTTCAGTTGGCTGCACGACCAATCCTTGCTGAATGAAGTAAGCCCCATGATGCTTCTGAAGGCCCCGTGAATGACTCTTGTTGAAGTTGGCGATAGCTGCATCCTTGAACGTTGCTGCTGATGTTCTTGCGCAATCGATCGTGAAGTTGAGGGAAAAGGAGCAGACACGATCTTGGCTGTTATGGGATTTCTTGTCCATGACAAGAGCATTGATCTGGGCGCTAATCTGCACTCCGATCATTCTAAGATGGTACTTCGATGCTACAGAGCACGGGCTGATTTGTAACTTGCTATCCCAAAGGCTCGTGTTCCTCGATGTGACATTTGGGAGAGAAGAAACGATTTCTGCGGTGCTGATGAAGCTCTCAGCGGATCAGGTAAATGTGCAACTGTCCTTTCCTCATCATGTCTTACAAGTCGCCAGCTGGTTTTCAGTCCTTTCCTGCTCGCCATGTTTCTCATCTACATCGGAGCTTTCCGTGCTGCCACAAGCTCGTACAGGTTCTCAGAGACAGCTCAGGTTATCAAGAAAGAGCTGCTTCCGATGCAGATCAGCGGCATGTTCTTCTGGGTGCCAGTGAGCCTTTCCTTGTTCACTGTCGTTCCGGACCATCTGAAGATTTTCGTGATCAACATCGCCGGTCTCTTCTACAACACCATGTGAGATCTCCCCGGCTGCTGCGATCCGATCCCTTCTGAGAGGAATCTGTTGCAGGCTCGCCTTGAAGATCAGCTCGCAAGACACAAAGAAGAAGGACTGAACGATGTCTAGTACATGTAAATAGAAATCATGCGACCTTTGCGCTAGTTATGTTGTGAAGATGTCTCTCCAACTATCTCTGCCTCCCAGCTCCTGGATTGACCCCGATACGTGTGAACGGCGTCTCGCCAGCGGATCCGATCCCATGACTCTCGAGCAGCACCTGAGTGGCTCTCAGCGTTACAAGGGGGAGGCACACGGGAGGGTACCTTTGCTTCCTCCAGGAATTCCTTCACCATCCTTCGATGCGCCTTGTTGTTGATCTCGTGGAAGAACTTGGCAGACTGTGCAAGGCATCATGGGAGGGACTATGTCACGACAACAGTTGTCGCAACGTTGTCAACAACTTTCACCTTCTGAAAACACGAGATCGCGTCCTGCCACCGACCATCCTGTATGCACTCGAGCCCCAGCTTCTTCCAACCCTCCGCTCGCTTCAGCGAGTCGTCTGCCGATATGTCCTCATAGCTCAGCAGCACAATGCCGGAGTCCTTTTTCTCAAACTGCACGCCGAAACGAAAGCCTTGAGGGAGAGGAGGAGGCTGAAGGTTGCTGATGGTGATCTGGGGAGTGTCGATCATTCTCTCCTCAGAGTTCATCGTGCTCCTCAGTCTCTTCCGCTTCTGGAATGTCGCCGTGTTGCTGTTGGCGTTGAGTATGGCGATGACGATGTCTCCCTGGTCGAACGAGGGGTAGGAGGTGCTGCGATCGCTCCTGTTGCCGTCGTACACGTTTCCCATACTGCTGTAGTACCACGCCTTCCCCACTCTCTGCGCCGACATCCAGCAGTCTTTCTCGCTCACATCCGAGCGGAAGAACCCGATCTTGATCTGACCTGTCTGGGGGAGGAACGTCGCGTGCTCCTTCTCCCTCACAAGGATCTCGAACTTGTGCATCCCTGCGGTGAAAATCTGCCGGCATGCCACCAGCGGGCAGTGCCTGATGATGCTGTCCATGTTGTCTTGCACCAGCACGTTCCATGCTAGCCCGTAACCCCAAGAGATCGCGTCCCTTCCCATCCCCGGGATCTCCGTCCTCTGCTTCTCTAGCACGACCTTGCGGTTTCCCGTGGGGACGAGACCATATTTCTTCAGCTCGTAGTCCCTCACAACCTTTGTCTTCTCGCTCGATTCTGACCTAGAGTCGGAGAACAGGTGGCTCATGGTGCCGTTCATCTTCTGCCTGTACTCCTGCGCTTCTTTCCTCCGTCGTTCCAGCTCCCATCTTTCCTGATCCTCGTCTACCGTCTTCCTCCCTGTCATCTTCCAACTCCCACCGTTGACCGGGCAGGATCGACAGCCAACACAGCTCAGATCCTTCTCCTCCTCCCAGTGAAGCTCGAAGTTTACTGTGACTTCTTCTCCTCAGTTCAGCTCTTTCCTAATCCGTCGGCGCCTGGCGCCATGCTGCCGAACCCAGTAGGCCGCCACCGCACGGTGGCATCCGTTAAACTTTCATTACAGATCTGATACGCAGTGTGACTCTCAGTTAGCCCGACCCGGGGCATCGCGGCACCGGGGCCCGGGGCCCGGGGCCCGGGGCCCGCCTGTTATTTTCCGCCTGGTGGAAAAATAACAATGATCCTTTATTGACTGAAAAATAGTATACGACTCACCACCGATGGTACTGGAGCAGGAGTATTGAGAGTTGAAGTGGGTAAAAATATTAGTCATAAGTGAGATCCAACTTCCTAGCTGGTACCCTACCCCTCATCACTCCCACATTTATCAGAATAAAGCACCCGTACTCCTCCGGCAAACTCGGAGGACTTGGTGTGGTTTGTAGCCCACGAACGATTATAGATTTTGCCGGAAAAAATTCAAATCTGTTCTGAAACTTCCAAAAATGGATCAATCATTACAAATTATTGTCCCAAAGATTGCATTACCCCCAATCTAAAGCTTGTGCGAAACCTAGCGCTGATGATGCGAGGGGAGCACCGGAAAGTTATGGTGAAGGTAGAGGTGAAGGAAGAGGCGAAGGAAGAAGCAAGAGACGTCATGATGCAGGAGGGTAGCTCCACGGAACACACAGAGGACGGCCAACCATCGGGTCAGGAGCGAGAGTTGAAGAGGAGGAGGATCGATGGTTCTCGCTCAGATGACGAAACTGACGAATCTGCGGGAGAGGAGCATGAGGAGACTGAGGTCCCGAACTTCTACAGCACTAGGATCGTACAACTCAGGAATCTCCTCCAAGATATTGATGTGATGGTGCCCCAAAGCCGCAGACAGGAGCTAGGTGGGCTGACAGAGCTGTGCTTCCAACTCCAGCAGATGGTCCAGAAGTCGAAAGTCTGCTTGCTGGGAACGAACGGGGTTGGAAAAAGCTATCTGATCAACGTATGGCTCATGATAACCTCTTGCCTGCCATCCGAGTATGAGCAGTGGAATTGGAACCAGAAATCCTCGCTCATCCACGAAAACGTTAAATCATTCTTGGAGAAAACAGGCTTGACCAAGGATGATGTGAAGAGGATTGATGACACGACATCAAGTCGAACGAACGACATTGATGATATGATTGGTAGCCTGACCAACATCATTCACCCTGAGCGCACAGGACTCTCTGGTGATGGCCAGGCTTACTTGTTGCCCAGTCAGGAGCTCGGCACCAGCAACACTACTTGCGCTATCACCTTGATTCACTCCAAGTGCTTTTGCATGCTTGTGGAGTACAGGAGCAAAGAGGAGCTACTGAAAGACGCGGACCAGTGGCTGCTGCAACCGAGGTGTAGGGAGTCGGAGCCTGACTATGACGACACGTTGCAGGAGGAAGAGATACAAAGCTGGATCGATCGATACAACGCTGTCGTTGCAGATCAGTACAGCGCTTCTGAATTTGGGATTGTCCCTGAGTATGTCAAAAGCATCGATGATGTTCAGATGAAGCCAGAGCTTGAAAAACTCGCAGGTCGTCGGAACCTTTATGTAGGCAAAGGAAGAGATCTGCACAATGACAGAGCTTTCATCAGAGAGCTTCTGGTCAACCTTCAAAACAGTGAGGAGTTCAAAGTTGCCGTCAAGTCCGTCATAGTTGGTGTCCCCAGCGCGATTCTTGAGGAGGTGGATCAGCTGACAGACTGCCCAGGTGATGATTGTCTTGATTGGGAAGGTGCACGTAGCTGAGAAAATGTGCAGGTACGAACGAGAAGGATACTTTTTTGAAAGCTGCAACAAGATCAGCAATCGAGGATCATGATGTGATCGTGATCCTTGCAGACAAGGCACTTCAAGCGCAAGAAAGCAGCATGAAACCACTTTGTAAGAGTGAGTTCTTGAAAAACATGGTGAGGCATCCAGAAAGGTTCAAAATTGTGGTCTTCTTCTGTAATGAGAACAGTAAAAATCTTGTCAAGTGGAGTCAACAAATCATAGGAGATTCAGTTAAGGATCAGCCAAATCGTGAAGTTATGCTTTCAAAGAGCAAGGTCTACATGTATCAGATATTGGTGCAGGCATGTCAGAAAGCAAGGTTGGACAGAGTGATTGAAAGGGCCAAGGAAATCAGCGAATCGATTTTATACACTCACATCTATCCTTCCCTGTACGCTGCCATCGAGTTTGACAAGACGTGGCGAGATCAGAACGCACCTGAGCTGTCGCGCATCTTCAACTACATCGACAGCGAAACGATGATGGGAGTATTCCGGAAATTGCATGCCAGGAACCTGTCGAAAGCTGCGCCGAACCTCTTTGAACGAATTCAAACTTTCATGGACGAGCTCCTGAGGAATGAAAGCCAGGCAAGCGCAGTCAGTCCGGTGCAAGCAGACACGGCGCTGCTTGAAGGAGCTCGAGAGTTCAAGAAGCTGTTCAAGTTCCACTCACGTACAATCAAGCAAGTGAAGCAGAAGACACTGCCGCTCGTCGAGGGGCTTCGAAAACACTTTCTTGGGAGCGAACATGTCCCTGAACAAAGAAATCATCAAGTAGAAAAACTAGAAGATAGGATCAGAACGTTCATCAACAAGGATCGCAACGGCGCTTTCGAGAAGAACTTCGTTGAATTCTTCAGTGCGTTAGTCGACGAACTTGACATCAGGGAGAACAACAAAGTCTGGATGTCGAGCAAGTGGGCCGGGAGGGGGGAAGAGTGTCACTTCTACCCTCAGATTTCTGGTTTCTTCGACGAGTCATTGCAATATGAACACCTCAAAGAAGTTCTCACACAATTTCTGTCTGAGATGGTGGCAGATGGCATCAAAATGATGGAAGAATTCATGTCGGGGGATTTCTTCCCGGAGTACAAAAAGTCTGCAAACTTCCCGATGCTCTTGAAGCAATACATCAAAGAAACGCTGGTTGACGACCAGCTCGCTAAGGCGAAAGAAAGATTCTTCGATTTCGGCAGCGTGACCCAGAAACTGTCAAAAAGCAACTTCGAGACCAAGATCATCAGCGAAGCGACGCAGAAAGCAATCAAAAAGTACCTCAAGGAACTCGAGAAGGATCTGAAAACCTTGACTATCGTCGAGTACAAGGCGAACCTGAAGGCAGGAGCTCAACGCCTATTAGCTTATTTCTCGGATTTGTGTTTGGAACAGCTGATGAAGAAGGCAGAGTACGCGTATACCCTCCTCGTGTCACGCTTCATTACTCTGAGCAAGAGAAACCAACCGCCCAGGATCTCCTTTCCCATCGCTTGCTACGAGTTCGCCACCTACGTGCTTACTAACTCTGGGGAAGACTGCAAGCCCTTGACCCAGGACGTGATCGACCTCCCGACCATCTGCAGGCAGATGACGGAGTGCATCCCGCGCACGCAAGCTGACAAGTACGAGGAGGTAGTTGGGAGGGAAGTCGCAGAGGCCATGGCCAGGAGGAGGATGCACAGAGAGCTGGACGGCAGTCAGCGAGAGCACGGAAACCTCCTGCTGGGTCCAAGCTTGAAGCCTATCAAGGATAGGGTGTCACAATCTGCTACGATGCTACAACTGCCTCTTGCCATCGAGGCCGACAAGGTGGAGGACATGCTGAGGGAGCTCAAGCAGAACAAGCTCAAGGTCTGGCCGAGCACGGAGAAAGTGAACGCAGGAGAGAGCGGGA